ACTGTGGAACCAACGCCAGCCTAGTCTAGCTGAGTCTTAATTAACTGACCAGGCATGATTTAGCTGCTTTAAATGATCATTACACTGTCCTCCTTTTCTTCATTCCTCATCCCAACTGTCACAGCCTTTAAGCATTCTAATAGCCGGTCTTTAGAGTGCCTCTTCTTGTGTTAAAATAGACTCGGGGGACAGACGTCGTCGTGACTCGTGACTCAGATGAAAAGCAGAGTCAATGTATAGAGCTAGCTTCCTGCTTCCTGCTTCCTGCTTCCTGTCTTGTTTCTTTCTTTTTTCTGGTGACCTTCTAATGAACACATAGTTCAGCCCCTGACATGACGTGACAGCATGCTCATTTAGCCTCTCCATGGTCTGGTGTCTTGGTCTCTGTGTTGTAGAAATGATGCAGGTGATTTCTATGAAGAGGAGGAGGGAGGTAGATGTGTTATTGATTCAGCCAGTTTCCCCTCCATATCCTGCTCTCTCAGCAGCTATGCTAAAATGAACGCCGACATTTGGCTAAACCTTAAATCTGGAAGCCTGACAGGCAATACCTATGTACTTCTCTGTAATTAAAAAATGTATTAATCTTGAGCGCTGGGCTGTCATAAATTCCCTGTTATTTTGAGCCGTGCTTCGGTGCAGCCTCAAATAAATATAAATAGAGAAATTGACAGTGGCTATGACTATGTATACATCAGTGTGACTGGGCTTTGAGGACCCAACTTGACCTGTTGCCTTTGGAGGGAAGCAACACCGTCCAGCTTTTTTGTGCATATTAACATCCAAGATGGCTGCCGTCATCATCAGTACCATGAGAGGCCTCTTGGCTCATGTTAGGGAAATGACTGAGGCAAAGCCTAGGAGGGGTATGAGGGAATGTCCGTCAATCACATAGATGCTCATACAATACTGAAGAACATTGTCTGTCTCTCTGGGCTCTAATCATAGGACAGAAGAAGATCATCTTCTAACAACCTCCGCTGCTACTGCACTCTCTTCAGCTGCAGCTTTGATATTCAAAGTTGCAGTTAAGTAGTAATTAATCATGATTGTTTTAATTGTGCATTGTTTTCATAATAACGAGGGGAGGGTGTAGCAGTAAACAGATGTGCAGAATAGACAATGCTGTTTCTTGTGCATACTGTAGTGACACACTCGCAGCACTGCTGTCATTTGAGAGGGCCTGCCTGGTGCAAAGGATATCGAAAATGTCCATCTTACTCCCACAAATAACTTTTTCCTTCTATTTAGTTATTACCCAAAGTACTGAATTATTCAATTCCCTGTTCTACTTGTAAAACTACCCTTTGAAGTCAATTCAGTGGGTATTTTTTCCCCACACACAAAATTGTTTCTGATATAATCTTTAATTAGTAGAATTTATGTTTTTCCAATTGGGGAATAAAATGAAATGGTTTGCACTTGGTACAGAGTGTTTTGTCCCAAGGACAAATATGAATGTCCCTGTTTATTTTGCAGATCACTCAACCGCCAGCAGACAGTAAAGTGCTTGTTTTATTGGAGTGAGTGATTGTGTGTGTGTGTGTGTGTGTTCATTCTCAGTCTACAGGCACATCTCATGAGACTGACTGTATCAGAACTCTGCCACCTTGATTGCTTGGATTCCTCCACTAGAGTCCTGGGCAACAATATCTATTGTCAAAAGTAGTGCAAAAGGGGAATACGAATAGCCATTTGGGACACAGACTTTGTTGTCTGAGCCGGATCAAGGCTGCCATAGCGATGTTTAAGCACTGTCTATCTTTGTTGTCTAAACTACCATCTTCATTGTCTTCTGGACACATCTAGTGGTTTCCCTTAGTAACGGCAGTTTGCCATTGCACCTATGAAATCAGTTTAATGAAGCATGTTGTTTACATGGTGGCTTCGACTTTTAGCACTTACACATTTGGCTATTGTTATTGTTTTCTTGTAACTAAAATGATCCAAGGCTGTATTTGTGGAATAGAATGCTCAAAACTCTTTGGAATACACATACTGTAAGTACCGTAATAATTCAACATAGAACTCTTAGACACACCTCTGCTAAAACAGACTCAAGTACAGGTACAGTGTTTTTCCATAAACAAGAACATGACACAGGAGGTTGGTGGCACCTTAATTGGGGAAGACAGGCTCGTGGTAATGCCTGGAGCGTGATAGGTGGAATGGTATCAAACAATCCATTCCATTTGCTCCGTTCCGGCCATTATTATGAGCCGTCCTCCCCTCAGCAGCCTCCACTGGAACATGACCATGGCCTCAAATTGAAATGTTTCGTGACGTCAACAAAATTCAAAGCGCTGACAGGCAGCGGGGGTGGTGCCTCGTTTGAGTCGTGTCAGAGACCTCACGCTACGATGGTAGTCCTTTGAAAGTCCCGCTACAGTGGAGCTCATCGGCCAACATCTATCAGTTATCTACACTTATTGTCCACTCACTGAGTACGTTCACATGTACACTAATAATGAGATATTAAACTGATTATGGCAGTTGGCAGATTATGCAATAGTCATGTAAACGCCTTACTCTGCTTATCTTAATCGGGGTAAGGTCAAAATCAAAGTAAGCGTACGCCGATTAAAACATCTGGTTTTCTGAGCAACCTTTCGAATGACTAGGACATGTAAACACCTTAATCGGCGTTCCAGCTGTGTATTTGATCTGTGCATGTGCTAGCACCAGCCGAGCCCCATCTATAGCGCGAGTGAAGTGAGTTCGGAACAATTGAATGTATGCGTTTTAGAAGTGGTCCTCTGTAGCTCAGCTGGTAGAGCACGGCGCTTGTAACGCCAAGGTAGTGGGTTTGATCCCCGGGACCACCCATACACAAAAATGTATGCACGCATGACTGTAAGTCGCTTTGGATAAAAGCGTCTGCTAAATGGCATATTTTTATTATTAAAAGTAGTTATCCCATACAAGCTTTATACAGTATGCCCGAACTCAGGATCAAATATGTTTCAGCGGGTCACTGTGATGCTCTAAACGGCCCAGACCTTGTAGTCTGCAGTATCACGGGTTCAAACATGAGGCATGACCCCTGGAATTGGGTCATGTGATCAGGGTCAACTGACATCAGCGGGGCAGATATGAGGCTGAGATGATAAGCCTCTGTAAGCCCCTGTCCTGTCCTGTCTGGTCAGGTCACTGTCAGTCACTCCCAGGATGCATTGTGGTTGTGCGCCCGTGCCTGCGGTCCGCATCCCTTCGAGCAGGGCTATAACCCTCTCTCTCTCTCTGCCAGTCTCCGGGTGCGTCCCAAAGGGCACTCTATTGCCTATTGAGTGCACTATATACTGTTGATCAGAGCCCTATGGGTACAGGTCAAAAGTAGTGCACTATCTAGGCAACAGGGTGTCATTTCAGACTCAGCCTCGGTGCCAGTGTACATGCCCACAGTTAATCTCCAGAGGTAGGCACCGCCAAGCAGCTGCAGCTGTTCAAACAGGTCAGTGGGTAGAGCAGAGCGGACGCAGCACCAGGGGCATTGCCAGCTAGTCAGTACCACCGTGGTGCCCTACATCTCGGCAGGCCCCGTGGGAGCAGCAATGCCACGTGCCAGGCTGCGAGGAACCACTGCACGGTGCACAGCCACTACTCTCTCTGTCTGGGAGAGCTTAGTACACTCAGGTCTCATCCCACAACCATGCAGTAACACTGTAGCCCTGTTATATAACCACTGGCTGGGCTGGCAGGGACGCAAATACACCTCACCTGTTTATCACAGCCATCTAACCATACACTCTTAGGAAAAAAGGGTTCCAAAATAGTTATTTGGCTGTCCCATAGGAGAACCCTTTGATTAAGCCTTTTTGATTCCAGGTAGAACCATTTTTGGTTCTACATGGAACCCAAAAGAGTTCTACCTGCAACCAGAAAGGGTTCTTCAAACGGTTCTCCTATGAGGACAGCCGAAGAATCCTTTTAGGTTCTAGATAGCACATTTTAAGTGTAGAGTAGACTACTTCAGGATGATAGATACAATCAGGATGACTGGTCAATGCTAGCTAAATAACTGCCAGTGTGTTAGATTAGATTCACTTACTAACACAATACAGAAATACCTAAGGTGATAATAACACAGATATTGCAATCATTCAGTTGTACATTTAAATTGGGGGTTTAACCCTTTCTCCATCACTTTGCATGAACTTCTCACTCTCGGCCTTTTGACTTGCCTTGGCCCTTTTAATGCTGAAATCCCTTAATAGAACCGGGAGCCAAGTGAGCTCATAACAGAGTGACCTGGGCTGGGCAGATGTTAAGAGTGGGCCATTTAAACATCAGATTAATGACGAGGCCAGCTGTAGGATTAAACGGCTAAGTGGTGCTCCGCTGTGGTAATCTCCTACCCGGTAACACAGAGTAATTGTCTCCTATAGGTGAACTAAACCTTATTGCCCATTGAGACTCCGTCCGTCGCCCACTTATGTAAAACGATCTTGTCGATAGCCATTATTGTGTTAAATACACAGAAACAAAGGGCTTACGCTGCAGAATGGGACCGGAAGGTAATACAGATGAACTTAATGTAAGATTGTAAAGGTCAACAGGCTATAAGTGGTACAAGCCACAAGACGTCCTCTGCCCTTATAAAGCAGGAAGACAGAGGGACTATAGGAACACTCATTGGGGATAAAATAAAAGCATTAAACCTACTAATGTCTTTAACAGCATATATCTAATGTGGTGTCTGAGCTCTGCAGGCCTTTGAACCGTTGTAGTCTAGCCTGGAGGACCCCTACTCTTCCTCTACTGTTTCCATACAGTCCTGATACGTCTAGCTGCGTGTGACAGAGTTTTACATGCCACCGCGGTCAGTGATTACTGTTGCACAGTCTCCCCCAGCTGTTGATCTGTTCTTTCCCTCCCCTTCCTATTTGCATTGGCTAATTTGGCCTGTTATTAAGAGTAGCGTGATAAATCTGGAGGTCTGGAGGGTCGACGGTGCGGTGACGCGGCGCTCCGTGTCGTTACCGTTACAGACAGCCATGACCGGTGACCCGTGTGATGAGGCGTGCTGCTGTGCCCGCTGCTCCCAGCACCCAACGGTCAGTCACACAGGCTTGGGCGCAGCAGGGGGTGTGAGAGGGCCCACAGCCGGCCCTGACACCCCCTGACACCTTCATCAGCGTTAAGACAACCCCCTGCTCTCGCCTCCCTCGTGAACAGCTCCAGCGACCAGGCTAGCTATAATTCATCCACACCACCTATGGGCTTTGTTCATTTCCCATCTCTCATAATAATGATGGCGCAGTGGGCGGTTTTGTCAGAGAGAGAGAGAGAGAGAGAGAGAGAGAGAGAGAGAGAGAGAGAGAGAGAGAGAGAGAGAGAGAGAGAGAGAGAGAGAGAGAGAGAGAGAGAGAGAGAGAGAGAGAGAGAGAGAGAGAGAGAGAGAGAGAGAGACTGACACAGAGAATGAGAGAGAGACTTGGAGAGTGAGAGGGAGAGGGAGAGGAAGGAGGAGAGAAAGTGAGAGAGGTGAAAGAGGAAGATGGACAGATAGACACTACAAAGGAAGAATGGAGAGTTTATGATAAGGCCAGAGATACAGTCAACAGCTAATGTAGATCCTTGCCAGTGGGAACAACAACCAAATCCCATCAAATGAGACTAACACACCCTTCAGGGGATAATGAACGCAGAAGACCCTCAGAAGACCCACAGAAGACCCTCAGAAGACCCTCAGCTGAAGCCCTAATGCAGTTTACACCTGAACACTGCACTACAGCTCCACATACAGCAAAATGTCAGTTGAGCGAGAGATTAGTTCATTTTGTTTACCTTCGAAGCAGTCGAGTTGATGAAAAATTGGACTGGAAACGTATTACATTTCTGTTTGGTCGAGAGAACTACTGTGTTTTTCCTGTACTAACCCGTACGGTGAAACGTACACTACACGGGTGTAAACCAAATAAGCAATTGATTTACTTCCCCTTAGTAAATCCCATTCCCGCAGGATTGGATAAAAGCTGATCAGTTTGCGATGGGGGAAATGCCCTTCGCTTGTTCTCTTTATTGGGGGCTGTAGTGCTGTCATGGTACAACTGGCTGGAACCATGACCCTGGAAGACCACAAATCAAGCCGGCAATTATAACTTCAAATAGCCTGGAGAGCCGTTCACCTAGAGCGCCATGTGACGGGCGACGGGCAGCGCCTGTGTGAAACTAAAAAGCAATTACTCAACACTGTAAAGGCCTAGCTTTAGTGAAAGGAGAAGGAGAAGAAAAAAACGACTACTGTCCCATGCTAGAGTTCTTTCTTTCTCTGGCTGTAACGTTGGCATTTCATAAATAAACCAGAGCTTTGCTATGTTGAAAATACGCCCGGAGTCACTGTTTTGTTCTCCTGTTAAACTTGCGCATAAGCCTCCTTTAGTGCCACTAAAATAACTTGTCATGACAGAGAAGGCTGGAAGCAGCACAATCAATTTCCATTACACGGAACTGAACTAAGAAATGGTAAACTATCCCTCTGACCGAGGGTAGACGGGTGTGTGTGTGTGTTTGTGTGTAAGAGAGGGAGAGTTAGAGAGAGAGAGAGTGGGAGAGTTGGGGAGAGAGACAGAGAGAGAGAGAGGGAGGGTGAGTGGGTGTGAGAGAGAGAGAGAGGGAGAGTGGGTGAGAGAGCGAGAGAGAGAGAGAGAGGGAGGGAGGGAGAGTGGGTGAGAGAGGTTGGGGGGAGGGGACACTAATGCAGCATCACATTAATCGCCTGGGAACATGTTATTTTCCCTCTCAACGTTCACACTTCCCAAGTTCACCAGTAGAGGGAACAATGGCACAGCCAGATACAAACCACTGGAGTTTATGACGTTCTCTTTTGTTGGTCCCCTTCCAAATCTCGATATACAGTGTATTCAGAATCTATTCAGACCCATTCCCTTTATCCACATTTTGTTACGTTACAGCCTTATTCTAAAAATGATTAAATTGTTTATTTTCCTCATCAATCTATACACAATACCCCATAATGACAAAGCGAAAACAGGTTTTTAGAAAATGTTGCCAATGTATTACAAACAAAAAACTGAAATACCTTATTTACATAAGTATTCAGACCCTTTGCTATGAGAATCGAAATTGAGCTCAGGTGCATCCTGTTTCCATTGAGCATCCTTGAGATGTTTCTACAACTTGATTGGAGTCCACCTGTGGTAAATTCAATTGATTGGACATGATTTGGAAAGGCACACACACTGTCTATATAAGGTCCCACAGTTGACAGTGCATGAAACCAAGCCATGAGGTCGAAGGAATTGTCCGTAGAGCTCAGAGACAGGATTGTGTCGAGGCACAGATCTGGGGAAGGGTACCAAAAAATGTCTGCAGCATTGAAGGTCCCCAAGAACACAATGGCCTCCATCATTCTTAAATGGAAGAAGTTTGGGGATGTTTTTTCAGCGGCAGAGACTGGGAGACTAGTCAGGATCAAAGGAAAGATGAACGGAGCAAAGTACAGAGAGATCCTTGATGAAAACCTGCTCCAGAGTGCTCAGGACCTCAGACTGGGGTGAAGGTTCACCTTCCAACAGGACAACGACCCTAAGCACACAGCCAAGACAACACAGGAGTGGCTTCGGGACAAGTCTCTGAATGTCCTTGAGTGGCCCAGCCAGAGCACGGACTTGAACCCGATCGAACATCTCTGGAGAGACCTGAAAATAGCTGTGCAGCGACGCTCCCCATCCAACCTGACAGAGCTTGAGAGGATCTGCAGAGAATAATGGGAGAAACTCCCCAAATACAGGTGTGCCAAGCTTGTAGCGTCATACCCAAGAAGACTGGAGGCTGTAATCGCTGGCAAAGGCGCTTCAACAAAGTACTGAGTAAAGGGTCTGAATACTAATGTAAATGTGATATTTCAGTTTTTTATTTTTTATAAATTTGCAAACATTTCTAAAAACCTGTTTTTCTTTGTCATTATGGGGTATTGTGTGTAGATTGATGAGGGAAAAAAACAATTTAATCCGTTTTAGAATAAGGCTGTAACGTAACAAAATGTGGAAAAAGTCAAGGGGTCTGAATACTTTCCGAATGCACTGTATAGGGATGTGTTTTTTCTATGAAATGTCATTTAAAACATCACTGCTTGAGCTATTTCTGTCTGAGTTGCAGCCAGCTTCTCTCCTCAGAACAGATAGTGCTTACTGAATGCACCTTTTGTAGGACACCCAATCTACAACTAATTAACATCAAAGTCATTTATGCCACAAATGGATTTCTACAAGCTATAAATTATGCAATAGCCCCATCCACCGTCATCGCTAGCTTCTTATCGCTTTAGGAGGACCTGGGGAAGGATTGACATGCCGTTGAAGTGTCCTTGTCCTTGTCAAGACATTCACTCTCAAACTGTCAAACATAATGTAAGGAGAGAAAAAACACAGACATGTTTCTACTTGAGGATTACCATAGAAACACAGGCCTAGTTAATATGTTTACCACCACACTCAGTCAAATGATATACAGCAGTGTTTCCCACCCTGGTCCTCCAGTACCGCCAACAGCACACATTTTTGTTGTAGCCCTGGACAAACACACCTCATTAAGCTCATTGAGGGCTTGATAATTAGTTGACAAGTTGATTTAAATAGAATGCAGAGAGTATGTCAAACTGTGTAGGTTGCCTGTATAAAACTTTCCCTAGATGAGTCAAAAGACTGGAAACCAGGAAGATACAAAATAGTCTCACTTTCTTTCCTCACTCCGACGAAAGTGTTTGTGATTCCTATCCATCCATTAACACCACTTTTCACATTTCGTCTGCGATGTCACTAATTGAGTGTTAATTTGGCAAGCAGAGGCATTAATTATGTGACACGTCATCTTAATGAGAGATCCCAGATGTACACCGCGGAGTCAGGAGAACATTTATAAGTAACACTTTACTAATTGACAAATATCTAATAGGAGATATGAAGAAAGCCTAACACAGAGATGAGAATGTGGCTATGATCACAGATGATTCTGTGTTTTCAAATCAAATCAAATCAAATTTTATTTGTAACATGCGCCGAATACAATAGGTGTATACCTTACCGTGAAATACTTACTTACAAGCCCTTAACCAACAATGCAGTTTTAAGAAAAAAAAGAGTTAAGAAAATATTTACTAAATAAACAAAAGTAAAAAAAAATAAAAGAGCAACAATAAAATAACAATAACGAGGCTATATACTGGGGGTACCGGTACTGAGTCAATGTGCAGAGGTACAGGTTAGTCGAGGTAATTGAGGTAATATGTACATGTAGGTAGAGTTAAAGTGACCATGCATAGATAATAAACAGAGAGTAGAGGGGGGGGGGGGGGGGGGGGGGGGGGTAACAATGCAAATAGTCCGGGTAGCCATTTGATTAGCTGTTCAGCTGTCTTATGGCTTGGGGGTAGAAGCTGTTAAGAAGCCTTTTGGACCTAGACTTGGCGCTCCAGTACCGCTTGCCGTGCGATAGCAGAGAGAACAGTCTATGAGTAGGGTGGCTGGAGTTTTTGGCAATTTTTAGGGCCTTCCTCTGACACCGCCTGGATAGAGGTCCTGGATGGAAGGAAGCTTGGCCCCAGTGATGTACTGGGCCATACGCACTACCCTCTGTAGCACCTTGTGGTCGGAGGCCGAGCAGTTGCCATACCAGGCGGTGATGCAACCAGTCAGGATGCTCTCGATGGTGCAGCTGTATAACTTTTTGAGGATCTGAGGACCCATGCCAAATATTTTCTCCTGAGGGGGAATAGGCGTTGTCGTGCCCTCTTCATGACTGTCTTGGTGTGTTTGGACCATGATAGTTTGTTGGTGATGTGGACACCAAGGAACTTGAAGCTCTCAACCTGCTCCACTACAGCCCTGCCGATGAGAATGGGGGCGTGCTTGGCCTTCCTTTTCCTGTGGTCCACGAACATCTCCTTTGTCTTGATCACGTTAAAGGAGAGGTTTTTGTCCTGGCCCCACACTGCCAGGTCTCTGATCTCCACCCTATAGGCTGTCTCATTGTTGATGGTGATCAGGCCTACCACCGTTGTGTCATCGGCAAACTTAATGATGGTGTTGGAGTCGTGCTTGGCCACGCAGTCATGGGTGAACATGGAGTACAGGAGGGGACTAAGCACGCACCCCTGAGGGGCCCCCGTGTTGAGGATCAGCGTGACAGATGTGTTGTTACCTACGCTTACCACCTGGGGGCGGCCCGTCAGGAAATCCAGGATCCAGTTGCAGAGGGAAGTGTTTAGTCCCAGGATCCTTAGCTTAGTGATGAGCTTTGAGGGCACTATGGTGTTGAACACTGAGCTGTAGACAATGAATAGCATTCTCATATAGGTGTTCCTTTTGTCCAGGTGGGAAAGGGCAGTGTGGGTGCAACAGAGATTGCATCATCTGTGGATCTTTTTTGGGGCGGTATGCAAATTCGAGTGGGTCTAGGATTTCTGGGATGATGGTATTGATGTGAGCCATGACCAGCCTTTCAAAGCACTTCATGGTTACAGACGTGAGTGCTACGGGTCGGTAGTCATTTAGGCAGGTTACATTGGTGTTCTTGGGCACAGGGACTATGGTGGTCTGCTTGAAACATGTAGGTATTACAGACTCGGTCAGGGACAGGCATTTGCCAGTTGGTCAGCGCATGCTCGGTGTACACGTCCTGGTAATCCGTCTGGCCCTGCGGCCTTGTGAATGTTTACCTGTTTAAAGGTCTTACTCACATTGGCTACGGAGAGCATGATCACACAGTCGTCTGGAACAGCTGGTGCTGTCATGCATGCTTCAGTGTTGCATGCCTCGAAGCGCGCATTGAAGTAATTTAGCTCGTCTGGTAGGCTCGTGTCACTGGGCAGCTTGCGGCTGGGCTTCCCTTTGTAGTCCGTAATAGTTTGCAAGCCCTGCCACATCCGACGAGCGTCGGAGCCGGTGTAGTAGGATTCAATCTTAGTCCTGTATTGATGCTTTGCCTGTTTGATGGTTCGTCGGAGGGCATAGCGGGATTTCTTATAAGCGTCCATGTTAGAGTCCCGCACCTTGAAAGCTCTACCCTTTAACTCAGTGCGGATGTTGCCTGTAATCCATGGCTTCTGGTTGGGGTATGTACGTACGGTCACTGTGGGGACAACGTCATCGATGCACTTATTGATGAAGCCGGTGACTGATGTGGTATACTCCTCAATGCCATCGGATGAATCCCGGAAAATATTCCAGTCTGTGCTCGCAAAACAGTCCTGTAGCTTAGCATCTGCGTCATCTGACCACTTCCGTACTGAGCGAGTCACTGGTACTTCCTGCTTTAGTTTTTGCTTGTAAAAAGGAATCAAGAGGATAGAATTATGGTCAGATTTGCCAAATGGAGGGCGAGGGAGAGCTTTGTGCGCGTCTCTGTGTGTGGAGTAAAGGTGGTCTAGAGTTTTTTTGCCTCTGGTTGCACATGTAACATGCTGGTAGAAATTAGGTAAAACTGATTTAAGTTTCCCTGCATTAAAGTACGGCCACTAGGAGCGCCGCCTCAGGATGAGCATTGTCTTGTTTGCTTATGGCCTTATACAGCTCATTGAGTGCGGTCTTAGTGCCAGCATCGGTTTGTGGTGGTAAATAGACAGCTACGAAAAATATAGATGAAAACTCTCTTGGTAAATAGTGTGGTCTACAGCTTATCATGAGATACTCTACTTCAGGCGAGCAAAACATTGAGACTTCATTAATATTCGATTTTGCGCACCAGCTGTTATTGACAAATAGACAAAGACCACCACCCCTTGTCTTACCGGAGGCAGCTGTTCTGTCTTGCCGATGCACGGAAAACCCAGCCAACTGTACCCAACCCGGTGAAACAAAAGATATTACAGTTTTTAATGTCCCGTTGGTAGGATAGTCTTGAACGGAGCTCATCCAGTTTATTCTCCAAGGATTGCACGTTGGCCTATAGGATGGATGGTAGAGGCAGGTTCAGGGACGGCCTGTTCAATAGGGCGATATGGGCGACGCACTGCCAAACGGGAAAAGGAAGGGATTTTTTTTCTAATCAATTATATCACGGCAACAGTAGTTATCAGTGTTGTAATCTGATCTGACTGCCACTAAATGTCAAATCAGGCTAAAGTCGTGCTTCAAATGGCCCCGCCCGTTTTTGGGGCGATTTCAGTCAGGTTGAAAATCGCCCAGAAGTCTCTCATAGCCTGTCATGTAAAATCTATTTTTTTCAAATTTCAAAGCTTTCAATACATTCTCTATGGGTGTCTGTGGGCTTGCACTTACGCGCTTTCGTCATACGTGACGTAACCATGAACGTAACTAAGAAAATAGCGGCTAGCAGCGTCTCTGTTGCGACCTGCAGTGTGGCGTTATCTTATGTTTTTAATTTGTACACTTAGTGGCGTTATTTTATGTTTTTAATTTGTAGACTTAGTTTACAAACATTCTGCCAACCATGGATTTCCAGTGGTGGGTTTTGGACTGATCTTGTTGATCGTGTACATACCCGCTACGAACGGACTAAATAATGAAAACGCTGCTGGCAGCGGAATCCAATACAGCTGGGAGACTTGGCTGGATGACAGAGTCCCGGACAGAGAAGTGGAGCCGGCCGGCTTCACCCTGGTCAGAGCGGACCGCGATCCTGGTAACATTTACATTACATTTTAGTCATTTAGCAGACGCTCTTATCCAGAGCGACTTACAGTTAGTGAATACAATTTTTTATTTTTATTTTTTATTTTTTTATACTGGCCCCCCATGGGAATCGAACCCACAACCCTGGCGTTGCAAACGCCATGCTCTATCAACTGAGCTACATCCCTGCCGGCCATTCCCTCCCCTACCCTGGACGACGCTGGGCCAATTGTGCGCCGCCCATGAGTCTCCCGGTCGCGGCCGGCTGCGACAGAGCCTGGATTCGAACCAGGATCTCTAGTGGCACAGTTATCACTGCGATGCGGCGCCTTAGACCACTGTGCCACTCAGGAGGCTAAGAGAGCGACTCTGGTAAGAGAGCGACTCTGTACCCCCGACATTGAACTGCTTTCTGTGTCACTGCGACCTTACTATCTGCCCCGTGAGTTCCCCCAATTGTTTGTTACCGTTGTGTACTGTTGATAATCACAAGTTTACTGGAGAACTGAGACCAAGTAGAGACTTTGGACAGGGTGGATATGGTATAATAAAGGCAGTTTATTCAGAGGTAAAGATATCTGGAATCGCGTGCACGGACTCGTTCGTCAAACTCTTAGGGAGCTATCTGAAGAGAGCCCCGAAAACATTGTGTGCAGACATTTTATACAATAAATGATGTAGGTTGAATCTAGTAGTTCTGATCTTCTGATTGGTCCTGATGAGTTGGGCGAGGTCCCCTCCACTGTTGCATTGGCTCTGAGTCGGGTTCTCTGTCTTCAAATGTTCAGCCTAAAGAGAGGGGATTTGTGTGTGTGTGTGTGTGTGTGTTTAACAGTGATGATGATGTGTGTGTGTGTGTGTTATCAGTGATGATGTGTGTGTGTGTGTGTGTGTGTGTGTGTGTGGTGTGGCCTCAGAGAGAGAACCCCCCCGTGAGTTCGCATCTGTAGCTGTAGTGACAATGAATAGCTGTAATGAAATTTCATAAGGTGTTCATTTGTCCAGTGGGAAAGGGCAGTGTGGGTTGCAACAGAGTTGCATCATCTGTGGATCTTTTTGGGGCGGTATGCAAATTCGAGTGGGTCTAGGATTTCTGGGATGATGGTATTGATGTGAGCCATGACCAGCCTTTCAAAGCACTTCATGGTTACAGACGTGAGTGCTACGGGTCGGTAGTCATTTAGGCAGGTTACATTGATGTTCTTGGGCACAGGGACTATGGTGGTCTGCTTGAAACATGTAGGTATTACAGACTCGGTCAGGGACAGGCATTTGCCAGTTGGTCAGCGCATGCTTGGTGTACACGTCCTGGTAATCCGTCTGGCCCTGCAGCCTTGTGAATGTTTACCTGTTTAAAGGTCTTACTCACATCGGCTACGGAGAGCATGATCACACAGTCGTCTGGAACAGCTGGTGCTCTCATGCATGTTTCAGTGTTGCATGCCTCGAAGTGCTCATTGAAGTAATTTAGCTCGTCTGGTAGGCTCGTGTCACTGGGCAGCTTGCGGCTGGGCTTCCCTTTGTAGTCCGTAATAGTTTGTAAGCCCTGCCACATCCGACGAGCGTCGGAGCCGGTGTAGTAGGATTCAATCTTAGTCCTGTATTGATGCTTTGCCTGTTTGATGGTTCGTCGGAGTGCATAGCGGGATTTCTTATAAGCGTCCAGGTTAGAGTCCCGCTCCTTGAAAGCGCTACCCTTTAACTCAGTGTGGATGTTGCCTGTAATCCATGGCTTCTGGTTGGGGTATGTACGTACGGTCACTGTGGGGACAACGTCATCGATGCACTTATTGATGAAGCCGGTGACTGATGTGGTATACTCCTCAATACCATCGGATGAATCCCGGAACATATTCCAGTCTGTGCTCGCAAAACAGTCCTGTAGCTTAGCATCTGCGTCATCTGACCACTTCCGTACTGAGCGAGTCACTGGTACTTCCTGCTTTAGTTTTTGCTTGTAAAAAGGAATCAAGAGGATAGAATTATGGTCAGATTTGCCAAATGGAGGGCGAGGGAGAGCTTTGTGCGCGTCTCTGTGTGTGGAGTAAAGGTGGTCTAGAGTTTTTTTCCCTCTGGTTGCACATGTAACATGCTGGTAGAAATTAGGTAAAACTGATTTAAGTTTCCCTGCATTAAAGTATGGCCACTATGCCAGGATGAGCATTGTCTTGTTTGCTTATGGCCTTATACAGCTCATTGAGTGCGGTCTTAGTGCCAGCATCGGTTTGTGGTGGTAAACTCTCTTGGTAAATAGTGTGGTCTACAGCTTATCATGAGATACTCTACTTCAGGTGAGCAAAACATTGAGTCTTCATTAATATTCGATTTTGCGCACCAGCTGTTATTGACAAATAGACACAGACCACCACCCCTTGTCTTACCGGAGGCAGCTGTTCTGTCTTGCCACTCGCCGACTAATTCTCACAAGGAAACTGGACCTGCGTCCCCTGTATCGGCGTCTCTTCTTCATGCAAATGACGGGGATTTGGGCCTGGTCCGGTGTCAGCAGTAAATCCTTTGTATCCAACTCATTAATGAAGAAATCTTTGTCCAGTTCGAGGTAAGTAATCGCTGTTCTGATATCCAGAAGCTCTTTCCGGTCATAAGAGACGGTGGCAGTACCCACATTGTGCCCTAGCTTGAATTGCATTGGCTCATTGTTGCTGTAGCAACATTTGCTAACCTAGAAGAAGTTGTTAAGATTAGAAAATGATAGACTAAGGGTTATAGTTTATGGTTAATGTTAGGGGTAAGGTTATTGCTCCTTGAATTTAGCTACAGAGGAAACCAGAAGTCAGTATAATGGAAAACTGCTACCACAGCTCTTACAGACAGACCAACGAGTCATGTTCCCATTATGTAACTTACACCAATGACAATATTACAGAGACCACCGAGTCATGTTCCCATTATGTAACTTACACCAATGACAATATTACAGACAGACCACCGAGTCATGTTCCCATTATGTAACTTACACCAATGACAATATTACAGACAGACCACCGAGTCATGTTCCCATTATGTAACTTACACCAATGACAATATTACAGACAGACCACCGAGTCATGTTCCCATTATGTAACTTACACCAATGACAATATTACAGACAGACCACCGAGTCATGTTCCCATTATGTCATTTACCTCAATGACAATATTCATTACATCAAAAGCCTAAAAAGCTGCCAAATGAGGAGGAACATATCAAATAGCTTCCTGTTGTATTTATAATTAAGGCTCTTTCCTCACTTGAAGCGCTTCAGTGTCTGGGCTGACAGTCTAAAGGCCCAGGGATTACCACTAAAGGAAATTATTACTAGTGTGGTGCTGCAGTCTTCATTCTCTAAGGAAGCAGACCAACGTTCAGAAAACTGACTGGTTTCATTGGCTCACTGAGGAAAACGTTGCATGTACACACAAGCACACACACTTACAAAAACACACAGACACACACACAGTCGCTAGGCTTTCCCCCCAACCTGGCAACAACATTTAGGGCTTTGAGTTGAGTACAGTGGAATAGCTCTGTGCTGTACCCGCGACGACAGTTTCCACGGGCATGACACTTGTCAGCATCATTATGCATGTCTATGAGCGCTCTACTCCTACAGTCAGGATCAACTCTGGTCCTTCCTGCAGTACATGTCACTCCATTCTATTCTGTTCCATTCCACACAGTGTTTCGAGAAAACATCTCAGCAGAAAGACGATAGGACTGACAGCCATCAGGTGTTTTAGTATATCATGCCGGATATACTCAACACTGCTACACTTCAATCACTACTGCACAATAACGGCAAGGATTGCTGAAGAACATGTAGTATGTGTGTGTGTTTGTTTGTGTGTGTGTGTGTGTGTGTGTGAGGGTGTGTGAGGGTGTGTGTGAGGGTGGATGTGTTTAACTATACTTATGGGGACCAGAAGTCCCCACAAGAATAGTAAACTAACAAATATTTGACCAACTGGAGACATTTTGTTAGTCCCCACAAGGTCAAATGCTATTTCTAGGGGGTTTAGGGTTAAGGTTAGAATTAGTGTTAGGGTTAGAATTAGTTTTAGGGTTAGGGTTAGGCGCTAGGATTAATTTTAGGGTTAGGGTTAGGAGCTAGGGTTAGGTTTAGGGTTAGGGTTAGGGTTAAAGTTAGGGTTAGAGTTAGGGTTAGGATTAGGTTTAGGGTTAGGGGTTAGGAAAAATCTGATTTTTAATGGGACTGAATTTTGTGTGTGTGTGTGTGTGTGTCTTTCTGAGCTATTTGACATGTATGTGGGTTATGATTGTAGACAATACGGAGACAAAACAATATTATCTTCTGTCATTGTTTACTTTCACAACTCGTTAGTATGAATAAATAAATACCCCAAAATACATCAGAAACGGATAACTGCTTGAGCCTCTTATTTCTAAATGAGCGTTTTAGCAACTTAAAACACTTTTAGTTTTTCTGGAAATCCCTTATCTTGCTAAACAAGCATCTTTACTTTTATATTTTATGTTGGAAAATATAATTTCCAGGTCTTGAAAACCACTGGGTAAGACCAGCAGAGAAGTGACTGAAGGGAAAAGGAGCTGACATTTTAGCACAGAGAAAAAAACAGTCCATAAAATATCACATTCTAGACAGGCCGCTTGAATCAACCACAGTACAGGCTTGTTACCTGGGAAACTGATGACACCTGGAAAATCATAGAAACGTGTACAAGAGAGTATAATAAAGCGCTCTACATTGATGGCTAGGCTGTCTAGTCTATGTGCACCTGTAGGTATTTGAATCACACCTGTCTGAACGAGGGGTCAGTACGGAGGATGAGGGCCAGGTGTCTCCATGACAACTCAGTACCACCATCAGCCCCATCATCAGGTTAATGACTCAGTAATAAAGAATGCGTGTGTGTGTGTGTGTGTGTGTGTACGTGTGTGTATGCGTGTACGTGTGTGTGTATGCGTGTACATGTGTGTGTATGTGTTTGTGTGTGTATGTGTGTGTGTTTGTATGATATGGGAAGAGTGATGGACTGTTTAAAGGAAGCTGAGAGGGCTAGAGGTGTGAACATTGATGCCATTAAAAGACTGTAATAAGACACAACAGGGTAGTTAGTTCAGTTCTGTATGGCGCCACTGCCACACTCACAACACACATCCACCTGACCTTGTAATTGTTAACATAATTCTAGATAAATATATGCAATTTACACTCGAGTGGGCTTGAATAACTTATTTTCTCAGTTTCCTTTCACATCGACAGTGCATGAACACTTCGTCCAGGTACCATGTAATTTTCAACAGAATGCATAAAAAGCAACTGCCTTGCAATTGAAACATACCGGGAAATCAGAAAGAACCACAACAGCAGCAACGTTTTCATAAGACAACACATCAATAGAGTACCTTTCAGATCTGCAGTACAACAGGATGGGCCGAGACATAATAATGCTCATGTGTCCTCAAACCTCAGAGAAACAGAGCAAACCAGGTCACCGCAAATCAAAACTACTTCATTACTACGTGGCTTCCACTCTTATGAAGCCTGGCCTAGATCCAAAATGGCACCCTATTTCCTACAAAATGGCACCCTATTTCCTACATAGTGCCCGAGAAGCCGGTGTTTGGAGGATATATTGGCACAAGATGCCTGCAAGTCAAGGGCCTGCAAAGCGTGCCAATTTATCCTCCAAACACCGGCTTCTCGGGCACTATATAGGATATAGGCTGCCATTTTGTAGGAAATTGGGTGCCATTTTGGATCTAGGCTTCGAGGGCATTATCACTTTATCACAACGGGTTATCAACATATTCAAATAACGATTGACATATTTTCATAAAAACATTTATTTTTATGAATTTATTCATACCATTTCATCCTTCCACGAGATATAGTCCCGACACAAATCTAAGGTTGCTACCCAAGCCGGCTGGTCGTTCGTTCTATCGGTTTGGTTGCTAGAGAAGCGACCCAGTCGTTCATTCTAAATGTTCCATTGCCGTACTGGCTGGCAACGTTCTTATCCCTTGCTTGCTAGCTAGCTAGCCAACTACAGCTAACTTACAGTCCCGTCCAACAGTGAAGCCAGAATAACAGCAAAGTAGCTGTATTTGCATTTGATTAAGCTGTTTTTAGCGACATTTATTTGTATACATCCATGACAATGAGCTAATGATGCCGTTTTTGCCTGGCATAGAAAATGTGCCCTCTCGTCAGGACACTTTTGTTCAGAGGAGCTAGCCAACAACACAGCTAACACAATCACTTGAAACTGAAGCTGGAAAGACTGCAATCTAGCTGCATTTCGTTTCGTTTTACCTGTTTTCTATTGATATTTCTTTGTATATATCCATACAAATGATGCCAGCTAATTCATGATTTCGACTGGCTGAGAAAAGCTGTCTGCCTGTCTGTCTGTCTCGTCCTGACTCCCGACACGTTCATTACTATGGGACAGCTGGAGATCAAAGTTCAATATTCAATTTTTTTGCAAATGTCGGAGAGACAGACAGCAAGGTTTATACAAATCTCCGCTGTTGAAAACCAAATGTTAGTCTAAAAGAAATGGGAGATAATGTTTAGATGCCTTTTATAGTGGAGATCATGTTTATAAATTGCCTGGCTGGGCTGATGAGACAGTGGAGTGCGCAGTCAGATGGAACAGATTAAATAGACATTTCAACGTCATAGATTTAGCCGGTGGTAACTTGTGGAATAGACACCGGCTGGAATGTGGTTTTAACCAATCAGCATCCAGGATTAGTCCCACCCGTTGTATAAATAGGGAATAGGGTGCCACTTCAGACGCGACCAAGATTAATCTCTACATCCAGACTGATTGGCTGTGTGACTGTATGTCATTAACCCTCCCGTTGTCTTAGGGTCAAAATGACCCGCCACTGTGTTGAACCAACTTTATTTAATTTTTATATTTTGGGGATTATTTGTGAGAAGGAGGCTGTGAGACTTTAAAGAAAGGCTAATGATATCTATATATAATGTAAAAATGTAAAAAATGGGTGTAGATCTCTCCCAGTGTCGGCCATGTCCCTTACATATAGTTGCAGCGTCATCCCCAGGAGATAGAGGCTCATTTATTTAAAACAGTGCAGCATGGACCCAGAATGTGCCACCTCATCACCATACAGGAACAGCTAATGGTACAGATATATATATTTTAAAAAAAACACAGCTTTGGAAGCTAGCTAGATGACATTATCTAGTACCAACATGTCTGATTAAATATGTCTGTCTGTAGTGAATGGTTAATATGAACTGACTTAGTGAGCCATTCTGTCTGTAGTGAATGGTTAATATGAACTGACTTAGTGAGCCATTCTGTCTGTAGTGAATGGTAAATATGAACTGATATATCGAGCCATTCTGTCTGTAGTGAATGGTAAATATGAAGTGACTTAGTGAGCCATTCTGTCTGTAGTGAATGGTTAATATGAACTGACTTAGTGAGCCATTCTGTCTGTAGTGAATGGTAAATATGAACTGACTTAGTGAGCCATTCTGTCTGTAGTGAATGGTAAATATGAACTGATATATCGAGCCATTCTGTCTGTAGTGAATGGTAAATATGAACTGATATATTGAGCCATTCTGTCTGTAGTGAATGGTAAATATGAACTGATATATCGAGCCATTCTGTCTGTAGTGAATGGTAAATATGAACTGATATATCGAGCCATTCTGTCTGTAGTGAATGGTAAATATGAAGTGACTTAGTGAGCCATTCTGTCTGTAGTGAATGGTAAATATGAACTGATATATTGAGCCATTCTGTCTGTAGTGAATGGTAAATATGAACTGATATATCGAGCCATTCTGTCTGTAGTGAATGGTAAATATGAACTGATATATTGAGCCATTCTGTCTGTAGTGAATGGTAAATATGAACTGATATATTGAGCCATTCTGTCTGTAGTGAATGGTAAATATGAAGTGATATATTGAGCCATTCTGTCTGTAGTGAATGGTAAATATGAACTGATATATTGAGCCATTCTGTCTGTAGTGAATGGTAAATATGAACTGATATATTGAGCCATTCTGTCTGTAGTGAATGGTAAATATGAACTGACTTAGTGAGCCATTCTGTCTGTAGTGAATGGTAAATATGAACTGATATATTGAGCCATTCTGTCTGTATGAATGTAAATGAACTGATATATGAGCTTCTTTGTATGAATGGAAAGTGACTATGAGCCATCTGTTGTAGTGAATGTAAAAGAGTGCATGACTTGACATCATGTGAGTGAATGGTAATACTAACGATATATTGGCCATTTGTCTGTAAGTGATGGTGAAAATAAATCCACAGGTGAAGAGAGGAGAGAAGAGATCTTCTAGAGGAATAAGTAGGGGTCTACAGAATATAGAGAGATTGAAAGGGTTCTCTCAGGCCAAGTCTCCATTCGCAGCACGTCAGCGTAAACCAATCAAGGAGATGTTTGAGAAAGCAAGCCACGGGTCCATTTCCCCTCTGTCACATACAGTCCAGTAATGCCTTTATGAAAATGAGTGCCGGCTGCACATGACAAATCACTGTAATTGATCGCACAGCCATCCATCACGGGTAAGAACCCTCTCTTCCTCTGAGAAGCAGTGCACTTGAAGCTGAGTGCTTAAGACAAGTATGCTCTTTCCACCCCTCCATCTCGCCATCCTTCCATCCCCCCCCCCCTTACTTCACCCACCCACCCTTATCCTTCTCCCTCCACCTCTATCATTACATGGAATATCACAGAAAAAAGTAAAGCGTACCAATTCAGCCCAATCAAATGGCAGATTCGGTTACTATGTTGCCAGGACTACGGGAAGATAAGTGACAGGTGCTGAAAGTTCCGCTGAGCTGTGTGCTGTTCTGTGCTGTTCTGTGCTGTGCTGTTCTGTGCTGTTCTGTTCTGTGAGGGGGAACATTTTAGGGCCCATGGCACTTTTCTTCTGCTTGTTCTGATCATGTGATGTAATGGTATTGCTACATCACATCTATGGCAGCTCTGATGATCCAGTGTCTCGCTGATGGACTGGATTAAAAGTGTCAGATAATAAAATAGAATCATTCTGGCTTTAGAGATAATACCTTCCTTGATCTACCCTCTGACTTGCAAAGTGAACTCTCTCACACACACACACACATTTATTTTGCTTCTCGGCTATTGTCAACCCTTAACATTTACCTCCTTCAAATAAGGGGAAAAGTACTAACATATAACACTTATCTACCACCTTTAAATAAGGGGGAAAAGTATTTGATCCCCTGCTGATTTTGTACGTTTGCCCACTGACAAAGACATGATCAGTCTTTAATTTTAATGGTAGGTTTATTTGAACAGTGAGAGACAGAATAACAACAAAAAAATCCAGAAAAACGCATGTCAAAAATGTTATCAATTGCATTTTAATGAGGGAAATAAGTATTTGACCCCCTCTCAATCAGAAAGATTTCTGGCTCCCAGGTGTCTTTTATACAGGTAACGAGCTGAGATTAGGAGCACACTCTTAAAGGGAGTTCTACTAATCTCAGCTTGTTACTTGTATAAAAGACACCTGTCCACAGAAGCAATCAATCAATCAGATTCCAAACTCTCCACCATGGCCAAGACCAAAGAGCTCTCCAAGGATGTCAGGGACAAGATTGTAGACCTACACAAGGCTGGAATGGGCTACAAGACCATCGCCAAGCAGCTTGGTGAGAAGGTGACAACAGTTGGTGCGATTATTCGCAAATGGAAGAAACACAAAATAACTGTCAATCTCCCTCGGTCTGGGGCTCCATGCAAGATCTCACCTCATGGAGTTGCAATGATCATGAGAACGGTGAGGAATCAGCCCAGAACTACACGGGAGGATCTTGTCAATGATCTCAAGGCAGCTGGGACCATAGTCACCAAGAAAACAATTGGTAACACACTACGCCGTGAAGGACTGAAATCCTGCAGCGCCCGCAAGGTCCCCCTGCTCAAGAAAGCACATATATAGGCCCGTCTGAAGTTTGCCAATGAACATCTGAATGATTCAGAGGAGAACTTGGTGAAAGTGTTGTGATCAGAGACCAAAATTGAGCTCTTTGGCATCAACTCAACTCGCCGTGTTTGGAGGAGGAGGAATGCTCCCTATGACCCCAAGAACACCATCCCCACCGTCAAACATGGAGGTTGAAACATTATGCTTTGGGGGTGTTTTTCTGCTAAGGTGACAGGACAACCTCACCGCATCAAAGGGATGATGGACGGGGCCATGTACCGTCAAATCTTGGGTGAGAACCTCCTTCCCTCAGCCAGGGCATTGAAAATGGGTTGTGGATGGGTGTTCCAGCATGACAATGACCCAAAACACACGGCTAAGACAACAAAGGAGTGGCTCAAGAAGAAGCACATTAAGGTCCTGGAGTGGCCTAGCCAGTCTCCAGACCTTAATCCCATAGAAAATCTGTGGAGGGAGCTGAAGGTTTGAGTTGCCAAACGTCAGGCTCGAAACCTTAATGACTTGGAGAAGATCTGCAAAGAGGAGTGGGACAAAATCCCTCCTGAGATGTGTGCAAACCTGGTGGCCAACTACAAGAAACGTCTGACCTCTGTGATTGCCAAGAAGGGTTTTGCCACCAAGTACTAAGTCATGTTTTGCAGAGGGGTCAAATACTTATTTCCCTCATTAAAATGCAAATCAATTTATAACATTTTTGACATGCGTTTTTCTGGATTTTTTTGTTGTTATTCTGTCTCTCACTGTTCAAATAAACCTACCATTAAAACTATAGACTGATCATTTCCTTGTCAGTGTGCAAATGTACAAAATCAGCAGGGGATCAAATACTTTTTTCCCTCACTGTAGCACTTATCTACCACCTTTAAATAAGGGGAAAAGTACTAACATATCAAACATTTTCTCACAAAGGGAAATCATTTCTCCTGCAGCCAAATTCTTCAGGTTCCTTTTCCTCGTGCTGCTTCGGAAAGTCTAATTATACTCTATCAATTAGAAGGGCCATTATGAATCACCCTCCTTCATATGCTAATGAGTCAACTTCACAGAGCCAAGACAAGAGGAGAGACCTCTGTTCTGTAATGGTTGCCCATTCAGCAGAGCCTAGTCACTGGCTGCATCCCAAATTGTATGCCCTATGGGCCCTGGTCAAAAGTAGTGCACTATATAGGGAATAGGGTTGTATTTGGGAAGCATCCACTGAGAGAGCAGCCAGGGGAATGGAACCATACAGCAGAGTTCCAGAGCTATAGATCCACACATTCCTGTTTTTACTTGCTGTGGGAAATCCTTGCAGAGGTATAGTATGTATAATATAGAAATGATGCAGGAGTCTGTAGGATAGGATAAGGATATTTAGATATGGTGCTATCTCTGGACCTAGGACTACACTTTTTTTGTTGAAGGAACTGATTGGGCGCTCAGCTGTTAAATCAACTGGAACATCCAAGGGAGGAGATAGGCATTCTAAACTAGGATTTCTAGTCGGTTTCCTTTAACCTGGGGCATTTGGGGAATTGTCATGCTTCTCTACTGTAAGTGGAGAACCTTTTAACTTGTCAACGGTAGGCCTAGTATTAGCATCGCTTTATTGTAAAATAAAAAGCAAGATCACCACCGCCATCGGTCCCAAGTCATTAGCTAAACATGCAGACCGTTCGTTTCCCTCCGTGCAGCACAAGAAGACACTATAACAGCCCATTGAGTAGGCAGATAATTATCCACTCTTTATTGTGCAGTTTTCAATCCACCGGATCAAATGGCTTTACCTTGTAAAACAATCATAAAATCCCAAATTTCATTTAGGAATAATGTATATTTTTAATAGTTCCACTAATGGCTGAAGACATCATTATCTTTAAAGAGGTCCTCAAGACAATGGAACTTGATCTTTCATACTCTTCTCCTGCTATAACAGGCCAGTTGACCATTGATACAAAGAACAGACACAAAGGTTGGGGAGGATAGAAGAAATGAACTGCAGAAGTCTGATCATTATAGACCAAGAGGAATGGAAATGAAAGAAATTACATTTACACTCTGTGTGAGAATTAATGAGATACTTGTATTAGAGGTACATTATACAAGATGTAGGCCTATAAATATAGACTGTAGATATTACAGTCTCATCTCAATATGATATCTCACAGTCTGTCTGACACAATCATGTGCGGGTGAATCATTAAAAACATGATCAAAAAACATTTGATGTGACTGTTTTATGTAATATCAATTCATTTCCCTTTCTTTTACCAGGAACAGTCCACCAACCACCTGGCCAAGCTAGGAAGGAGGAACAGTCCACCAACCACCTGGCCAAGCTAGGAAGGAGGAACAGTCCACCAACCACCTGGCCAAGCTAGGAAGGAGGAACAGTCCACCAACCACCTGGCCAAGCTAGGAAGGAGGAACAGTCCACCAACCACCTGGCCAAGCTAGGAAGGAGGAACAGTCCACCAACCACCTGGCCAAGCTAGGAAGGAGGAACAGTCCACCAACCACCTGGCCAAGCTAGGAAGGAGGAACAGTCCACCAACCACCTGGCCAAGCTAGGAAGGAGGAACAGTCCACCAACCACCTGGCCAAGCTAGGAAGGAGGAACAGTCCACCAACCACCTGGCCAAGCTAGGAAGGAGGAACAGTCCACCAACCACCTGGCCAAGCTAGGAAGGAGGAACAGTGGCAGCCGTTGAGTCATAATAGTCATAACAGAAGATATCTCCATTTACACCAGTTACGCAACAACAACTACATAACATAACATATTGTTTTGTACTGTATTGATACAGACTATACAACATTATATGTTATACAATGTATGGACCAGGGTCGTGGCTTCCCTGTAGGATACTGTGAGATGTACTGTACAGCATAGTGGAGGAAAGAGTTGTTATGATTACGGCTGCATATTAATCAGGCAAATCTGATTGGTTTTACAAACACATGAGCACTATGTGAACGCCGGTGCCAACTTAACTACAACGACACAACAACATCACGGCAACATAGCCCCCCGTTAGAGGAAATAGCCTTGTTTATATGTAGAACTGGTGAGACTGGTCTTTTATGAAATAGCCAATGGGTTTGTTGTCATTCAATGTTCTGTTATTGAAATGAAAGGTCTAATGGATGTATGTGTCTAAACTAATGTCCTATGTGTCATTTAAAGGTTATATTGCTCCAAGGACTGTATGTAGGGGGAATGTGCTACCTACAGTACATACACTGAATGAACAACACATTAGGAACACCTTCCTAATATTGAGTTGCACCCCCTTTTGCCCTCAGAACAGCCTCAATTCGTCCGGGCATGGACTCTAGAAGGTGTCAAAAGCATTCCAACGCTTCCCATGCTTGTATCAAGTTGGCTGGATGTCCTTTGGGTAGTGGACCATTCTTGATACACACGGGAAACTGTTGAGCGTTGAAAAACCCAGAAGCATTGCAGTTCTTCACACACTCGAACCGGTGTGCCTGGCACCTACTACCTGTTCAAAGGCACTTAAATCTTTTGTCTTGCCCATTCACCCTCTGAATGGCACACATCCACAATCCATGTCTCAAGGCTTAAAAATACTTATTTAACCTGTCTCCTCTCCTTCACCTACACTGATTGAAGTGGATTTAACAAGTGACATCAATAAGGGATCATAGCTTTCACCTGGATTGACCTGGTCAGTCTATGTCATGGAAAGAGCAGGTGTTCCTAATGTTTTGTACACTCAGGGTATGTCTCTATTACAGGAAGTAATGATGTATGCATGTATGTCTATGTACATGTACCGTACATGATATGAGTAGGTGGGCCATGTTCTTTCCTCTGCCCTCCATATGTGGGTAGAAGCGTGTAATTATTATTCACTAGATAGATACAGACAGACAGACAGACAGACAGACAGACAGACATACATACAGACAGACAGACAGACAGACAGACAGACAGACAGACAGACAGACAGACAGACAGACAGACAGACAGACAGACAGACAGACAGACAGACAGACAGACAGACAGACAGACAGACAGACAGACAGATAGATAGATAGATAGATAGATAGATAGATAGATAGATAGATAGATAGATAGATAGATAGATAGATAGATAGATAGATAGATAGATAGATAGAAACAGAGAAGGTCCTCAGATTCCCTCCTGATTTCAGTCAGATAAAACATTTGCAAACACTAAAGCAGGATGTTTTCTCGCTTAAAGAGAGAGTTCTCCCAAATTACGAAATGACATATTGGTTTCCTTTCCCTGTAAGCATTCTATGGACAAGGTATGACAGCAATCTATGCTTTGGTTATTTTCCCTTTCCACATGCTAATGTTTTAGCATTTGTGGCACAAATCCCATTCAAGTCATGGGACTGATATTAAAATGTTTCGTGCATCATGTTAAAAGGTTAGCATGTAGAAAACAGTCCTAGGGAAACTCAACCAAAGCATGGATTGCTGACATACCTTGTCCATAGACTGCTTATAGGGACAGGAAACCAATGTGCCATTTTCTAATTTGGGTGAACTATCCCTCATCCAAAAATGCTAAATGTGTCTCTGTGCGAGGGGAGGGGAATCGTCCCGGAGGACAAGGACCGTCTGAGGCAGCGGGGAACATGATTGATGAGTGAAATTGGTTCTATGGAGTCTGCCTTTGTCTCTTTAGGGGATAATAAACTGTAATCAGATCGCCGTAAACTGCAAATAGTTTGCTTGACCTCCAGACCACTATGGGCGATGGGTTTGATGCATTGAAATGTAACAGCTCTTAATATATCTTGCTACAGTGGTTTTCTCTGGTGTTTTCTTTTTAGAGTTCAGCCATGAGGGCAAGACTAAGTAGAGTAGATCTTTTTGTAATCATTGTGTCATTGATTGAATGTACCGGTACTATAGGTTTTCCATCAAGACTGTCCAAGTTGTTACTGCACATCAACCTTAGCAGTGGCGGTGGCAGTGGCGAGCGATCTCTATTCTGTCACACCCCTCGCTCTAAAGATAAGGAACTTTAAGTTCAAGCTTTAATATTTCAACAGTCTTAGTTCAGAAAAAGTGCTGAAGTGGCTCTGTGCAAATTCCACTACTTAGCAATTAAGGCAGCCAGTTGTACCATTATACATATAACTACTATGGATACATGTCAGCATTCTGACATATTTCTAATGAGATGTCTGCTGTAACATAATCTCATCAATATTTTCTCGCTGAATGTACACCTCAGATATCTGGGTTTTTTCTTCTTCTTCATTTCAGCCAAGCAGAAGATCTGTAGCTAATATACAAACAGCTATTGTAGCCATCCCCATAATAGACGAAGACCCCGACACAGCTGCACAATAGCAATGATTATTAAATCCGCTCTCCCACAAAGAATGAACGCTGCCTCGCTGACAGACAAAACAACATGAACATTCATCAATGCCAATAAAAACACAATGCAAGTTATCACCAATGGCCCAGCACTGAGCACATGTGACCTGCAAAGGAGTTTTTCTTACCTGTAACAGATAGTTCTGTAGTTCTTCTCACCACGAAGCTCCCAAACTGTAATTCACACGTGTAATTTCCAATGTCATCTTCACGCACCTCCCGGATAGAGAGAGTATCTCTTCTCCTTACAATGCTTTGTCTCCACTGCTTTGGCTTGCATTCCTTCGATTCAAATAGAGAGAAGGCATATGAATGTAAAACAACATGACGAAACAGACAAGGAGTATACAGTTGGACTTAGATTACACTTTTTACAACATACAATATAGACATGTAGAAAAAATGGACGCCTGAGGAAATGCATCGAACCGTTGCAAACTTCAAACATCTGTTTGATCACAAATGCATTCTCATCTTGTATTTAGTGTTGTTGTACTGAGTTCCTATTTTTTTGGCGAGATGAGTGTGATCTATTATACAACATTAAATCTCTAAGTTCCCACTAGAAGAGCAACCTAGTTCATTTTAGTGAGAGTGAACCCAGAGGACGAAAAAGGGAACTCATGCCACACTAACTCATTCCCCCACGGCAGGAAAACTGGAACACCGTGGGTTGGTTCCACCTGCGCACGCTGGCCTCCCAGAATTCAATCAGCTTCGCTTCCAGAGACAGAGAAAATGACTAGGATATTCTGGGGCCACAGTCATTATCCATGTTTTAATTTGATTCACTGGGAAACTGAAGAAGCACTGTGGCCATCTAAACCGACACTCATCTAGTTTTGATGAATTGGCCCTTGGCCTCCGTCGGCTACTCTGTCCGTCTGCTGTTACACTGTGGGCAGGCGGCGGGGGCCGGCGAGGGCCACTGGTCGACTCAGATAGCCAGACTTCTGACTCTGAGGACCCCCTCCAGTCGTTTGGGTGGGGGGAAGAAAAGAAAGAGTTCATTGTTTCATCTTTTAGACTGTTTATATCATGAACGTGGGCTGTGGCCCCCTTTCCCCAGACGGTTTGAGTCTCATGAAAAACAAATGACATCTCAGGGGGTGCTGTGCAGAGTGGCTGTGAGTCATGGGTGGATACATCTACCAACTGTCATCAAGCAAGCACATACACTGCTACAATATGTATGCTTTAATAAAGACTAAAATAATCATTTAAAATAATAAAATAAACATAATCTCGCACATTTTTTCACTACATTTCCATGATCATAAAGTTCTGATTATACACTGATAAATATATGTAGCACATTTGATAAAATAACACAGCAGGGGTTTACTAGACACATACGTGGCCTAATCTTGGACTAAAAAGCAGGCTCAGTGGAGAACCTGATTTTGAAAACACTTTAGAGTCAAGAGCTAGGCTTAATTTGTGTCCTTGAAACTGCCCCTATGGCAGTCAATCTGAATTAAGTTACAGACATATTTTATAGTGGACTCTTACCTTGTACCAGACTATCTCTGGCTCCTTCCCCGGCTGTACATAATCCTCAATGTCCGGACAGGTGATCTCCTTACTTTTACTTAACTCTGCCTTCTCGAAGTACCTCATTTTGGAGTTGTAGCAGAGGTCAGTGTCGTTCTCCGCCACTGTCAGTGACATGGACACTTTCATACAATATGTGGAATTCCTGCAAAACACAAGTGAACAAATCAATAAGTTTAATCATTTTCGTATAACATTGTCCTCTCACGCCCCTATCACTATATGTTGACTAGTATTGATACATTTGATGAAACTGAGGAGTATTTCTGTCTGTATTAAAGCCCTTTTGTGTGGAAAAACACATTCTGATTGGCTGGACCTGGCTCCCCAGTGGGTGGGCCTATGGCTGAACCCTGCCCAGTCATGTGAAATCCATAGATTAGGGCCAAATGAATATATTTCAATTGACTGATTTCCTTATATATACTGCAACTCAGTAAAATCTTTTATATTTTTGTTCAGTATACATTTGGAAAGTAAATGCAGATACTTTTCTAACGGATTAATACAATCTTAACTCATTAAGCTTTTAGAGTCAGCCCTTTGATCTAAACCCATTGGACACTCAGATACAGTGAGGCATCTGGTTTGGAGGGAGAATATGGGAAAGTTTGACATTCTACTCTCTCGTCAATGTAAAAATCTGTGGCTGGTTGTCCGGAACGTTACAAATTCATACAGAGATCTATTGTGTTTTCTCACCCATCCAGGAGGAGTGTGAACGATGCGGGAGAGATGAATCTGGCTATCACAAACCATCAATGGCAAAGACAAAAGAAAGGTGGTGAAAATGGAGGTGGAAGGGAGATGAGGGCTAATGCACAACGGCAGTTCTGAAAGTCAACAGCAGTGAAGATTGAGTGAGCCTTTTGTTTCGACGCGTTATGCAGATACAGCGCAAGCTAGCAGAAAATTACTTGCCAGAATTGATGTTCTGTAACTGGTCAGACCTGATAGAGAAAAGCCTGTCAGCCCAGAATCACTACAACTGTGACTGTACCACAGTTGAGAAAGCTGTGAGGGTATAAATAAACGGCAGGTCTGACAACACAGTCAGGTACAACACAATGGCACCATACTGTGTGGTACAATTTCACTGTGCTCAGTCTAATAATCACTCTGTGTTGAATCTGTACAACTGTTCAATAACTATTGGCCCACACCAGCAAGAACTCCAGTAACATGCTCACATGAGTGAGCAGTGAGCTCGGGTCGATCACAATATACCCTTCCACAGCCATAGTAATACATCAGTCATTACAGCTGGTAGAGTTTTTTTTATGGCTAGGTAAACAAGTTCATGTTGGCCTTTGACTCCAGATGAGTGATTCTTAGGCAAGGATCCATGGATTTTTGGAATCAATGGACAGAGGTATTGAATGTGCAGGGAATTTCATACAATGTGGGAGGGAGAAGCCAGCCTAATATGATCAATGAGCTCAATCACTGTGACCTTTGATCCCTCTATGCATCTGTAGTTAATAGGACTGTCTCCACTCACGACTATCATCAGTAGCTGTGTAGCCTAGTTCTTCAAGAGGGTAAGCACTGTATCAATTGACCCTTACTAGCAAATCCTTCTGGTCTACAGATTTCAACAAATTACAACATTTAGGAAAACCTCATTGGGTAATTTCAGGGGCGCAAGCTGGTTACACAGATTTGAGGCTGAACCAACAAACAATTATAAACAAGTGAAATCCTTTTATAATTGCCACGGCATTAGCGCAGCCTCGCAGATTAGCAAGCAAAGGCCGGCCGGTCCATAGTCAGACACACCCTCTACTGGGCACTGCAGGCTGTCCGATTAAGTCTGCCCATTTTATGAAGCGGAGGATGCAAATGCGACATGATGTGGAGATTATCCCACACAACTTGCACCAGATGGACACCTGTGCAAATGAGATCCCCCGGGTCCGCTCCCCCTGTTAAATATTCTGGGCAGTGCTGATAAACTCGCCCGGTGGGAGAGAGAGAGAGAGAAGAGTGTCAGCCTGGATGTTGCGTGATCGATGGCCCGGGCCAACACTTTGTCCTACGATGTCTTTCCAACGGTTCACATCCGTCACACTGCCTTTTAAGCAAGAGAGCCAGGAGGATGGAGAACAGTATCGCTTTGTTTTCAGTCAGTAGCACTATCCATACTGTATATTCATGAACAATGTGGCCAGGACAAACATACCGCTTTCAGTCCACTGTACATCAATTACTGTATATTCATAACAACATGTCTACTAGACAGGAAGTATGGGCTACTGTATAGTGCAGTGGTTCCCAACTCCAGTCCTCCAGTACCCCCAACAGCATACATTTTTGTTGTAGCCCCAGACAAAAACGCCCTGATTCAACTTGCCAAGGGCTTGATGATTAGTTGACAAGTAGAATCAGGTGTGCTTGTCTGGGGCCACAACAAAAACATCTACTGGTGGGGGTCCTTGAGTACCCGGAGTTGGGAAACACTGGCATAGTGTATACTAAAGTACTCAGCTTAGTATACTTTTGGATATATTGGTTATACCAAGGTAATACCACAGCATCAATGACAGCATGTCAATGGGAGCTGACGAGAGGCTGCTGTGCAATGTCAAGGCAATGACAGACAGATACCATGCAGTTCATATTAGAGAGGAGAACACCTTGGCTGACAGTTTGCACACAGAGAGCCGGAGGGTAAATGGGGGATTTGTTTCCATAATAGAAATGGCTGTTGCAATATGCGACAGGGAAGGAGGTCATGGCTAGAAGGGATAAAGCTTTTGTGATATTGACGTCAAAAGTTGTTTTAGTTTTTTGGGGCAATTTAGCTAACCCTTTTCCTAAACTTAACCTAATTCTCCTAACCTGCTACAAAAAGTCCAATCTGACAAAAGCTGTATTCCATCTAGTCAAAACCAGGGAAGGAGAAATGGATGGGAGGACAACTATGAACATCTTATTAAAATAATGACCAACACAATGTTGCCTGTATGAGTGATTGTTGTGTCAGTATAGTACAGCCACTTTTTACAAGCATGTCAAAAATACCTATTTGGGGTGTAACGTAAAACAGAATTATTGGCAATAAACAATTCACTGCTCTTGCTTGCTCTCATGTCAAAATGAATTCATAATTTTTTAGGACAAGGCCAGTATTTCAGGAGCTTGATAAATGATTAATCACATATTATTGTAATTGAAATTAGATACCAAGGGCCCAACTTGGCAAAAATCTACTTAATTATTCTCTCCTAACCTCATTTATGACATAATCTCCCTTGTTTTGGTTGAAGAGAAAGATGGAACATAACTCCCTCTACTTTACCTTAGTATCTGTCCCTGCGATATTATAGCTCGAAGCTGTAGAATTAATGTGAAATAATTCTACTCAGATCGCAAGGTACCTGTGGGATTAATTAATGACTGAATCCTTAATTAAAAGATCTTCAAGTTCTACTTTAATAGAGCAGGAAATTGAACACTTGTTGATTCTCATTAGAGATATACCTTCAAGTAATAATAATGCATAAACAATTTCACAAATGTTTACAATAAATCCACCTCACTCAATAAAAAAGATAACTTGGACAATTGTCAAACTCCTTTCAACCCTTAACACATCCACTTGTATTCAACTGGATAGATGGACATTCAAAGAGACGATACATCAAAATCTCACACATGGGTGAGACCAGTGCCATGAACAGCGGGCCATGCCCTTTAGCTGGACCTTGTTGGTACATCAGGCTCCAACATGAGGCATGCCAGTCCAGCCCAACCCAGCCCGGCGCAGCGCTCGGCAGACAACCAGCCAGCTAGCAGCTGCCAAATCAGTGCTGACAACAACCTGCACCCAGTGGCCAGACAGTCCAGGGCTACAGATTACCCTTAATCAGTCTTTTATGGCCAGTGCATTATTTATGACCCAAGCGAAGGTCAGGGTGGCGTGGCGTGCTGTGGTGGGAGGCGGTGCGGAGCGGTGGGAGGACTGAGGCCCTACCTGTGGCCTGCTCCATAACTCATCTGTCAGCACGCGAGGCCAGGTGATTAACTGCCCACTACCCAAACCTCACTTTAGGCCAACAGGCCTCCACTTAGCCTCTGTCTCTGGAGAGAAGGCCCAAAATGTTTACCTACTCAGCTGCTTGCGGATAGCACGTCTCAATACGAGATTAGAGAGACACATGTTGATCTTCTATGCCAGGTATCATCAACTAGATTCAGCCGTGGGCCGACTTTTTCTTGAGTGGATGGTCAGGGGGCCGGAACATAATTACAAATCATTTGTAGACTGCAAATTGACCGCAAGAAGCCAGAACAGATATAATATTTGACTAAAACTTCATCATTCCAAACCTTGCTTACATTTGTACAGTATATGATCACATACAGTGAGGGAAAAAAAGTATTTGATCCCCTGCTGATTTTGTACGTTTGCCCACTGACAAAGACATGATCAGTCTATAATTTTAATGGTAGGTTCATTTGAACAGTGAGAGACAGAATAACAACAAAAAAATTCAGAAAAACGCATGTCAAAAATGTTATAAATTGATTTGCATTTTAATGAGGGAAATAAGTATTTGACCCCCTCTCAATCAGAAAGATTTCTGGCTCCCAGGTGTCTTTTATACAGGTAACGAGCTGAGATTAGGAGCACACTCTTAAAGGGAGTGCTCCAAATCTCAGTTTGTTACCTGTATAAAAGACACCTGTCCACAGAAGCAATCAATCAATCAGATTCCAAACTCTCCACCATGGCCAAGACCAAATAGCTCTCCAAGGATGTCAGGGACAAGATTTTAGACCTACACAAGGCTGGAATGGGCTACAAGACCATCGCCAAGCAGCTTGGTGAGAAGGTGACAACAGTTGGTGCGATTATTCGCAAATGGAAGAAACACAAAATAACTGTCAATCTCCCTCGGCCTGGGGCTCCATGCAAGATCTCACCTCGTGGAGTTGCAATGATCATGAGAACAGTGAGGAATCAGCCCAGAACTACACGGGAGGATCTTGTCAATGATCTCAAGGCAGCTGGGACCATAGTCACCAAGAAAACAATTGGTAACACACTACGCCGTGAAGGACTGAAATCCTGCAGCGCCCGCAAGGTACCCCTGCTCAAGAAAGCACATATACAGGCCCGTCTGAAGTTTGCCAATGAACATCTGAATGATTCAGAGGAGAACTGGGTGAAAGTGTTGTGGTCAGATGAGACCAAAATCGAGCTCTTTGCCATCAACTCAACTCGCCGTGGAGGAATGCTGCCTATGACCCCAAGAACACCATCCCCACCATCAAACATGGAGGTGGAAACATTATGCTTTTGGGGTGTTTTTCTGCTAAGGGGACAGGACAACTTCACCGCATCAAAGGGACGATGGACGGGGCCATGTACCGTCAAATCTTGGGTGAGAACCTCCTTCCCTCAGCCAGGGCATTGAAAATGGGTCGTGGATGGGTATTCCAGCATGACAATGACCCAAAACACACGACCAAGGCAACAAAGGAGTGGCTCAAGAAGAAGTACATTAAGGTCCTGGAGTGACCTAGCCAGTCTCCAGACCTTAATCCCATAGAAAATCTGTGGAGGGAGCTGAAGGTTCGAGTTGCCAAACATCAGCCTCGAAACCTTAATGACTTGGAGAAGATCTGCAAAGAGGAGTGGGACAAAATCCCTCCTGAGATGTGTGCAAACCTGGTGGCCAACTACAAGAAACGTCTGACCTCTGTGATTGCCAACAAGGATTTTGCCACCAAGTACTAAGTCATGTTTTGCAGAGGGGTCAAATACTTATTTCCCTCATTAAAATGCAAATCAACTTATAACATTTTTTACATGCATTTTTCTGGATTTTGTTGTTGTTATTCTGTCTCTCACTGTTCAAATAAACCTACCATTAAAATTATAGACTGATCATGTCTTTGTCAGTGGGCAAACGTACAAAATCAGCAGGGGATCAAATACTTTTTTCCCTCACTGTATATCTCTCTATTATGCGTTGGAATACTTTGGAACAGATTTCCAAAATTAAAATCACTTGGAGCTGATTTGCTGGTGTTTTTACAGTCATTAAATGTTTCTCCCCCCAAAACACACACACACACACACACACACACACACACACACTCAGGCCTGTTATTTCTCTCCATACAGGATCTGTTATCCATGTAGGGGAGACAGGATAAGATGGACTACTAAATAGAAACTCTCCCCTGCTTCATACACATTATGTGACTGGTTATACAATCACCTCAATGATCTCCTTTAGTCACCACGCCTTCATTTTCTTTCCCTGAGCATTTTATGCAAAGTTCTCTTTTTTCATTCCAGGTGTGATGGAGAACTCCAATCTCATCCATCTGACTGAAAGCTTTTGGCAGGGCCTTGGCTGTCCTCACCTCTAGCTGTACTGTTACCTTTAACATGCAGCGGTCTGTCTTGGTCTATTACCCAGTCTCTAATCCCTGGTGCCTTGTGGGAAATCATTTCACCCAACCCTGTATTTCCAACCAGATTCCATAACTTTATGAAACATTTTGACTCTTTCATTTTACCGTGACCTTATTCATTTGTCCTCCCAAAGCCTACGGGCAAAATGGCCACTCACAAATACATTCAATGCATATTAAAACCTAAACACTAAGTAGGTCTATTTCCGTTTGCTACAGACACATTCCAATGAGAGAGTAGAATGGCCACTGCACGCGTCTGGACGATTCAAAGTTCCTCTTTAAAGTTCCAAGTTCCAAACCACTTTGACTCTTTCTCTTTTTTCCAAACGTCTGAATAACATGTTAATGTTCTGCTTCTCCTTCCTTGAGTGACAGCTTCAGTATTATATAGGGGGCTGATGGAGGAGGGAGGTGATGGAGGAGGGAGGCAGTGTCAATTGGATTCTGCTGAGGATGAAAGTGCATTGTGACATTTTGTCTGGCAGATAAAAACCCCATCTGATATGACGAGAGAAGGTCAGTGTCTCTACTATCAGATACTGCTGGTCCAGGTCTAGTTTGATGCCTTTCTCTCAGCCTGCCTACTTGGCTTGGGAGGCATAGTGCAGATAATAATAATAATAGATTTATTATATATAGTGCTTTTCATTTCAAACAGAATGTAAAAGTCAAAAAAAAAGAAAAAAAAGAAGATAGCAGATTGTTGGGTATAGCTAGATAGGGAATATGTTTGGTGAAGGCATAATTCAAACCAGCCTGTGAGTTCAGTTTAGGGCAGGAAATGACAATTCTTCCTGTGAAATGTAAGTGAATAGGAGAAGGACGAGGAGGAACACTGTCAGAAGGCCTGTATACACATACTGTAGTCCCTTCAAACTCTACCCTGGACCTCCAAGCCAGTTCCATTGCATTGTTCCCCTCGAATCAGGGACTGATTTAGACCTGGGACACCAGGTGTGTGCAATTCATTATTAGGTAGAGCGGAAAATCAGCAGGCTCCGGACCTCGTAGGGTAAGACCTGAATACCCCTGCTATAGCCTACTGATGAGACCAGAGTAATATTGTAATATCAGATATACTGATGATATCTACCATACACATACTGTAGACCACTGATGAGACCAGAGTAATATTGTAATACCAGATATACTGATGATATCTCCCATACACATACTGTAGACCACTGATGAGACCAGAGTAATATTGTAATACCAGATATACTGATGATATCTACCATACACATACTGTAGACCACTGATGAGACCAGAGTAATATTGTAATACCAGATATACTGATGATATCTACCATACACATACTGTAGACCACTGATGAGACCAGAGTAATATTGTAATACCAGATATACTGATAATATTTACCATACACTCATGTAAACTATTCACGGTGAGGTACAGGGGCACATTTCCATTTGAGACATTTGTCAAATGTGACCTTTCAAGAGAATTGTCCTTGGTAGCCGTGCGAGGACACACTATTGTGAAAGCTGGTGATGTGGCATCATCGAGTACCCGACCGGTAACACCACCCATCTCCTCAGCCAATGCCAGCCTCAGATTTCCTCCCGTATGCAGCCTCTGGGATTCAGGCTTCAGGCTTAATCAAATGGAACTGAGGCAAGAGCACGGGACAAATCTCCAATCAGTAAAAGTGTGAAGGGTGTCTAACAGATTGATGCGGACCTTAACACATGCATCCGCTGGATTAAATCCTATTCCAATCACATCGAGGGTGCGTCCCAAATGGTACCCTATTGCCTAGATGGTGCACTTCTTTTGACCAGGGCCCATGCACTATATAGGGAATAGGATGTTATTTGGGATACACCCCGAGAGAGGCCTTGGGAAACCTCACAAAAAGCACACAAGTGGCTGGTTGAAGTATATTTGTGTAATACCTCATCGTCAATACATCGTTACTGTTGAGTGGCAGATATTAAAGGGAGGGCAAAACCTCAATATTACACCGTAATCATTCTGTAAAATGGTCACACAATATATGAGATTCCACAGTTGAAAGGATCACTTTGTATTACCATGAATATATTTCAGACACAGTGGAATTTTGTTTTTACTTCCTGGACAAAACCTTTACACCTGTGCCATTCCAAAAAACGACAGTTCACTGCTTCCTCAAGATAAAATAAATGACTCTAATTTGCTTAACAATGTACTTCATCATCCTTTTTAATGGAGCATGTATTCTCTGATGAGTTTAAATAGTAGGAAGATTCCATAATTCATTTCAAATTAATTTATAAAACATTTCTCACATCACTCTCCACTCAAGGCCATTACATGAGGTGTCCCCTGTCTAGTAGGAGCAAGGTAATACATTGAAATTGGGAATGTGTGTGCGTGTGCGTGTGTGTGTATGTCTGTATGTTTTCCTCACCAAACGGCAGAGAGCGAAGGCTACCAGTTCTTACTAGAAAGCATTAACACCAAGAGGTAATTGCGTCTCCACACCCTCACTCACCTCCCAGCCTCACACAGACAACAGCCTGCTGCCTGCCAGGTAGACCTAACACAAACACAGTCTAGAATACATCATACACTCCACCTCCCCTCCAGCCCTCCCTCCCTCCTTTGTCTCTGGCTCTGATTGGCTGTGACGGCGGGGCTGGATCAATGGGACAGGGCCTGACTGGTGGCTGAGTAACGGAGTGTCTCTGGACGTCCCATTTGACTGAGAGATCACCAGCTGGGCCCTGCAGTGGAATACTAATCCAGTCTCAGTCTCCCCTTCCTCTGGTGACAGCCAAGGCACGGTTGGACAGGACATACCTAGACACCATTAATAACATGAAGGCCCTGAATGCATGTGAACAGCCACCTGCTTTCTGCTGATTCCCCCTGAACTATTCCTTCATGTGGCTCTGTGACATTTGTCTGTTTGCTCACATTACCATCCTGGGGTTGTCCTTGGTTTTGATGCTGTAAGGATCTTCCATTGATCAGTAGCAGTGAGGTTATCCAGACACCTGTTGTGTGCCTGGAGGTGGAATTAGCTGCATGTAGTGAGCAGACATCACAATACTTCTCTATGACATTTTGTCTCCACCCATCTGTACCGTGTTGGGGTGTGATATAAGACATCCTCTGACTACTGTAACTCTGACTACTGTAACTCTGACTACTGTAACTCTGACTACTGTAACTCTGACTACTGTAACTCTGACTACTGTAACTCTGACTACTGTAACTCTGACTAGAATTATATGACTGGGAGGAGGGAAACATCTGAAATGACTGAACACAGAGGTGACCTTTATTTGACTCTGAACATCCCACTGCTCTGTGTCTGCTGGTCCTCACTGGTTAACGTGTCTCCTGGTCTTCCCTAGTTAACGTGTCTCCTGGTCCTCACTGGTTAACATCTCTCCTGGTCCTCCCTGGTTAACGTGTCTCCTGGTCCTCCCCGATTAACATGTCTCCTGGTCCTCCCTGGTTAAGGTGTCTCCTGATCCTCCCTGGTTAACGTGTCTCCTGGTCCTCTCTCCCCCTCTCAGTCTCCTGGTCCTCCCTGGTTAACCTGTCTCCTGGTCCTCCCTGGTTAACGTCTCCTGGTCCTCATTGGTTAACGTGTCTCCTGGTCCTCCCTGGTTAACGTGTCTCCTGGTCCTCCCTGGTTAACGTGTCTCCTGGTCCTCCCTGGTTAACGTGTCTCCTGGTCCTCCCTGGTTAACGTGTGCTGCCTGCCTGGCAGCATGGTCTTCTCTCCCCTGTCATATGGCTGGATTAGGGCTGATTTCACACACAGATTGAAGACACATTACGTCCCTATCAGCGGTAGGCTCTGCGCACAGCACAGGCAGGCTAGTAGGCCCGGTTTCTGTTTACACTGGTGCCCTCTGACTTCTCTTAGTGCAGCCGAGCAGATGCATCATGGGCCGGAGCTCAGAGCAACACACACACATAGAGCAACACACACACACACGTACACACACACACACACCACACACGCGCACACACACGCACACACACACAAACACATACAAGCACACACACACATACACACACACTTGAGGCATACCTAGGATACACAGTTTAACATCACAGAGAGCAGATATACTGTTAGAGACGCAAAGGAGATCGGGAGGAGAGAGATGGAGAGAGATTGAGAGGGGGAGAGAGATGGAGAGAGATTGAGAGGGGGAGAGAGATGGAGAGAGATTGAGAGGGGGAGAGAGATGGACAGAGATTGATAGGGGGAGAGAGATTGATAGGGGGAGAGAGATGGAGAAAGATTGATAGGGGAGAGAGATGGGGTTTAAGGTTGGAAAAGGGGCGTTTTTTTTTTTTGGGGGGTCTTTTTGGGGTTTGGGGTTTTTTTTGTTGGGGGCCCCTTTTGGGGGTAGGGGGGTGGGGGCCGGGGTGGGTTTTTAGGGGGGCCCGGGGGCCCCCTTCTTTGGGGGGCGGGGTTTCTTTTTTCCCCCCTTGCTTCGGGGGTTTTGCCCTTTTTTGGGGTTTGGGTTGGGGGGGTAAAACTTCGGGGGGGCTTTCCTTTCCCTTTGGGGGGCCCCCCGGGGTTTTTTGGGGGGCCCCTGGGGTTGGGTGGGCCCGGGGGGGGGTTGGGGGGGATTTTAGGGGGGAGAGATGGGGGGATGAGACTGGGGGGGAGATGGAGAGGATGAGGGGGGAAAAGAAAGGGAAAAGAGACTGGGGGGGATGGAGATAGAACGGGGGGGGTTGCGATTTTTGGGGGGGAGAGATTTGGGGGGAGATAGATTAGAGGGGGGGGGGGGAGGTATTTAATGGGGGGAGAAAAAAAGAGATGGGGGAATGATGGGGAAAATTGGTGGGGGATGGGAATATATGGGGGGGGAGTGAATTTTAAGACTTTGGGGGGGGGGGTTTAAAAAAGGGGGGCATTTTTGGGGGTTTTTATTTTATTTTGGAGTTTTTTTTGGGGGGGGTTTTTTTTTGGCCCGGGGGGGGGGGGGGTTTAGGGAAAAAGGGAGAAGGAAAAAGGGGGGGGGGGGGGGGGAGGGGGGGGGGAAATTTTAAAAAAATAAGAGGGGGGGGGGGGGGGGGGGGGAAAGGGTGGGCCTGGGGAAAAGGAGGGTTTTCCCCTTCTTTTCCCTCTTGTCTCTCCCTTTCCTCCTTTTTTTTTTTGTTTTTTTTTTTTCTCTCTTCCTCTTCCTTTTTTTTCTCCCCCTTTCCTCCCTTTTTTTTTTTTTTTTTTTTTTTTTTTTTTTCCCCTGTTGGGGGCCCCCCCCCCGGTTTTTTTTCCCCGGGGTCCCCTTTTCTCCCCTCCCCCAATTTTTTTGGCCCCTTCCCCGGGCCCCAGGCTCCCTCATTAACGGCCCCTGTCAACCCCCGGTACCCAATCCCCCCCTCTTGGACTTCCCCCCCTTAATTCATCCCGTTTTGGTTTTTCCCCCCTACCCGGGGGTTTTCCCCATTTACCCCGGTCTGGTTTGTTTCGTTTTCCCTTTCCCATGTCGGGTTTTATCCTTTTGGGGGTTTCTTAAATTCCCTCCTTTCCTTGCCTCACCCCAGGCTGCCCAAATTCGACAACTTTCAAAGCCAAGGGTTTTTTTTTTTCGTTTGGGTTTACTCTCTGGGTCCCCCCCAAGGGCCGGGGTGTCGTCCCGGGGTTTCCCGCCACTGGCTGGGGTTTTTTCCGGTTTTGGGGCCCTCCCACTCGCCTCATTACGCGGTCCCTACCTAGGGGTGCAGGCTCCCAGTAGGGGCTCTAGCTCCCTCCTCGGGTGGCAGTCCCATCCACGCATGCCCCAGCCGGCCCCTTTTCTTTTCCAAAAACCCACCGGCTCGTCTTCCAACGCCCAGCCTTAATTCCAAAAATTCAGCCGGTTAGGCCCCACGTCCAGGGCCCCTCTGGTTCCCCGCTCGGGGTTTCCCCCCCCCCGGGGGGTGGGAAAACCCCCCTTTTTCTTTACCTTTTTCCCCTCCCCCCCCCCCTTTCCCCAGGCCCACGCCCATATTCCACAAATGTCAATTTAGGAAAAAGGGTTCAAATTTGTACCTGAACTTCATCCCTTTTTGGTTCCTCCCCTTATTTTTTGGGGGTTTTTTTTTTTTCGTCCCGTTGTCCAGACATTCTGTTTTTTTGTTTTTGTTTTTAAATTTGACCCTTTTATTTTTTCACCCCCCTTTGTCCTTTTAGGGAAAAAAAACTAGACCAAAAAAAGGGTGAAAATTTTTAAAAATTAAAAACCAAAATTTTTGGGTGGTTTATAAAGCATCAAATGACCATTCCATAATTTGCCCCAAAGAATATCCAATTTTTTCCCCTACAACTAATCTCTTTCTCTCTACAACCACAACTTTCCTCTGTCTCCCTCACTGTGCCCACTGCCTAATCTAAATTCAATATGTTAACATATACGAGTGCCTTGGTATATAGGAAAACGCAAAGCTGAGTCCAAAGGAGCGCAATCCTGGGATTCTGCTGCAGTGTTGTGATGATTGGGCCTGAAAAGAGGGGAATGATTTATGAGTCATATCTCCATAATGACAGTTCACACTATTGTTGGGATCTGTTCATTCCATTTCCATATTTTACTATGTGTGTCAACACAGCAACAATATCTACCACAATATTGTACAGCAGGGGGTAATTTAATGAGAAATGGTGAGGGGTGTAATCAGATGTATAGTTTTAACCATGTTTTGAGGCTATACAGTGTCTGTTTACATTGTTTCCAAACATTGGAGTAAAACAAGCTTATATTTGGGTTTCTGATGGGGCACGACAGGTGAACTAAGCTCATGAGGCATTCATGAGTTATATTTAATGTGTCTGGGATTGGTGTCATTTGGGGACGGTGATATGTTGAATAGATAAACACTATAGGTTCAGGTGAAAGGAACATCTCTCAGAACCAAAGGGTGATTTTAAGTCTAAGCCAAATCGTAGGATGATTCTATATATAGCAGTTCTATACATTTAAGACCATTTCCATTGAAGTGTTGAACCTCAAACAGAGGAAGTTGAATAGAGCATTATATAGGCCCCTACAGACATTGGATTTCTCTATCTCTTTAAGGTACAGTAGGTTTTCCCAGCTCAAATCAGCAGGCACTTTGCTCTCCACTAAAAACGACCTTTCACAATGAAGCGAACTAATGAGCCATTCAAGAAAAGACACCCTTAACCTAAGAGGTTAATAACTTATTACTATATAATTATTCATACACAATACTGTAACACGTTTTCTCTTTTCACTACCAGGGGCTGAACAGCCAGACAGCAGCAATGCAATGTGACAAGGAAGTGAACCTTTATTGGCTTGGAATGCACTCCAGTGAAATGTTCTACGGTGAAAAATAAAAGGTTTGTTCACAATTGCAAACATTCCGTTTTGGTTCTCTGTTCACTGTGTGACTAAAATGGCAAACCTCCGACAGATACAAAAATGGCAGTGTATTCCAATTTTAAATTCACATGACATTCAAAAGATGTTGTCAGCGGTTCTTGTGTTAATAATATGTTTCAGAAGTCAATATGTTGATCAGAAAAGCATGGAGCGTTGCAGTATGTTGGCATGTAGCGTACTTGGTAACAGATTTGGACTAAATGACTCCTCCAGATTAATTAAAGGAGATAACATGTTTCCTTATGTCCAACATATGGAAGGGAACTAAATCTGCCTCATCACAGGGAGGGCAATGTGAAGATACGTCTCACAGAAACACACATACCATGTTTGAGAGCCAAGGATTTCTCCCTGGGAAACATAATGTCGCTATCGGTTGAAAACCTTGTAACTCCATTTTTGCCAATGTTCATATATATATTTTTTTATTACATCTTTTGAAACTAGTAAATCCCCTCAATGTCCTCTGGATCAAATTAAGATCCTACATCTGTAGAGCTGTGATATGCAGTGCTATTAAATGAAAGTGATATTTTATAGTTGTTTAAGTGCAGTGTGGGAATAGGCTATCTTCCTCCTAACATGGCTGGGTTTCTGTACCTATCCTAGCCCTGGTCGTTTACATAGCAGTTGTGGTAAAACAGTGAGGGAGTGGAGTTAGGACAGTCATGACTCTAGGACCAAGAAAATGTATTCAAAATAGCTTCTGGTTTCAAAATTGTATTTTAGTTAATGGGAAAATATGGCAGTTTTTCTCCATTTCCAGAAAGTTTCTGTTTTGGAGATTAGGTTTTCATCAGACAGCAACAATAAGGTGTGTGCACTCTCCAGCCAATCAATAACATACATTCTTCAATTGAACAATTCAATTAAAGCTCATAGATGGAATTAAAACCAGCGGGACTGCATCCAGAAGCATCCTGTCAAAACCCTAGAGAAAAGCCTTTTTCCTCTTTCGACAATTCCTACGGACCTGGAGATTGGCAAAGGTTCACGGCACGCAGTGGCAAAAAAAACAACATAACAATGGAATTATTTCTTATGATTATAGTATAGTAAATGTTGCCCCTAATTGGTGTAAACAGTTGTGACTAGCTACAAAGCAACACACTCATCCAAATCAAATCTCCTGGCTCTACTATTTCAGCCTGATTACACAATAACCCCACACTGAGTGATTGTGTTCCTCCTCAGGCATCGGCTACACAGTCTAGCGCAGCACTGAATAGAATAGAGAATCATGGTAGGGGGGGATTGGAGCCGCTCGCTAACTGCCTGCCTGTGATGACTCTCTGAGCCATGCTCCCTGGCTAACTGCCTGCCTGCCTGTGTTCACTCTCTGAGCCATGCTACCTGGCTAACTGCCTGCCTACCTGTGATGACTCTCTGAGCCATGCTCCCTGGCTAACTGCCTGCCTGCCAGTGTTCACTCTCTGAGCCATGCTACCTGGCTATCTGCCTGCCTGCCAGTGTTCACTCTCTGAGCCATGCTACCTGGCTATCTGCCTGCCTGCCTGTGTTCACTCTCTGAGCCATGCTCCTTGGCTACGCTGCAAAGGGGTGGTTAGCTAGGAGAATGCAAATGTTACTGCTGCTGAATGGCAGGGCAAATTCTCTCAGCTGAATTGAGGCTGAGAAGGAGAGAGGTCACACTGACTGTACTAGTGGTGTGTGTGTGTGTGTGTGCCTGTGTGTGTATGTGCATGTGTGTGTGTGTGCATGTGTGTGTGTGTGTGTGTGTGTGTGTGTGTGTGTGTGTGTGTGTGTGTGTGTGGTGTTGCTTACAAGAACCAACTCAACCACCTCCTCTCCAGTTCCCAGGCAGGCAGGCAGAACCAGGGCAAACACAGCAGTGGGAGTATTTTTTTGATAGACCTCAATGCCTTTATTAAAGGGACAGCTCAATCAAAACACAGAAACAACTTGATTTTCATGAGCTTCCACAATCTTTACAAAGTTGTGGGGAAACCATTCATCAGGGTTTACAGTGTTTGGAGAAGGGAGTGGCTTGGCTCTGAAAGAATATGTTGGATAGACAATGGTTCCTCTCCCAGTTGAGCCAAGCAGCCTTTCTGAGCTGAAAATGCAGGTTGTTATGGTCTTCTAAGTCAAGACACCTGCTCTGACCTTCCACTAACCTGGGTACGAACAACCTTTACATGAATGAAACCCTCTCTTCTATCAATATGACCTAGGAAGCCAGAAACTTTACAACATTCTGGAACTCATAAATGATAATGTTGTCCTCCGACGGGTGTCTTTATTTGACAAGGGGAGGAGCTACATTATCTCTCCTTTTCTGTCTCTCTACACCTCTCTTATTTCCTCCACCACTACCTCGCGGCTGTGAATAACTGTCCATCTTCATCTCTTTCCTCCCTCACTCCAGACTCCATACGTGGTACGTTAAAGAACAGGAGTTGTGAAGCCTAAGAGTTATGGGTCTGCCAATGGCACTTAATACCTTATTGTCCCCCGGAGAAAAAAACAAAAAAAACATAAGCATGTTAAGTGAGGGAAGGAGGGCCCCTAACAGTGTGGACCCAGGTCTAACTCTCTTCTGGCTGGGATTAGAGAATTCATTAGTAATCTGCAGGGGAGGACTTTAAAGCAGCTTGATTTATGTGCATAGGTTGCAGAAACTCCTCTCCCCCACTGTTTTACCACAACTGCTATGTAAACGACCAGGGATTGGATAGGTACAGAAACCCAGCCATTTTGGAAGGAAGATAACTAATTCCCACAGTGCACTTAAACAACTATAAGACAAGATAGCAGTTATATCACAGCTCTAGGTTGACTAGATATAACAGAACAACTGACCTCAATACACAGGAACATAACAGAACAACTGACCTCAATACACAGGAACATAACAGAACAACTGACCTCAATACACAGGAACATAACAGAACAACTGACCTCAATACACAGGAACATAACAGAACAACTGACCTCAATACACAGGAATAGTGTCCAACGTCTTGGAGCTCGGTGGGTCTAAACCAGATAGCGTCCTCCTCCTTGTTCATTCTGATGCCGTCGAAAGAGATAGGCTCCTCAAAGTCTCCATGTCCTGTACTTTTATACCACATAAGGCTTAGTCCCACACTCTGGGAGTGGGTGTAGTTCGCTCTGATGTATCCATAGAATAAAGCACATTTAATCCGCACCGGTTCCCCCAAAAGCACTTTGTATTTCAAGTAGTCCACTGACCAATCCGTGCAGTCGTCCACTGAGGAGAAAGGAGAGAGGGAAGGTAGATTAATAGGCCTGTCATAAGAGCATCATACAAGTGTTATAATGAGTATTAGACTCCTGACATGATATAAGCACATTTGTTTCCTAAAACAGGAAAACAAGCTGAAATATGCTGATCATTGAAATTGTAT